CCGCGGCTGCTGCATTATTTAAAAAGTCCCTTACGTTCGGCTCCGAGGCGGTGGTGTCTGTTGCAAGAATCAGGAATCGCGGCCTGATGTGCCTGCGTCAATGCAGCGACTTAATCTTGCAGATCAGGACTGGCCGCATTGTTCTGTTAACGTTCCGCATCCTTCAAAGGACAAGCACCAGGACAGCCGCTGCTACTCTAGAGCTAGCGCTAGCTAACGAGAGTTAATGGTTCAAAATGTTACTTTCACAACAAGTCGTAACATTTGAACGAGGTAAAAAATTAGGAGCTAAAGATTCAAGGTGGCAAGATGTGGTCGCGGCTAACATCAGTCTGAATGCTAGCTTAAAAATCCCGCAAATTGTCCCAAAACATTTTCATTTGGATATTTAAAAAAAAAAATCATCAAAAGTTTGTTATTTTTGTGGTTCGCAAATCCCGACCAAACAAAATGCGACATACAACAAAAAATTGCTGATTGTTAATAATGAATGATTTGGAGTCCGATCGCCACGTTCGGGACTTTTGCGTAAATTCACAGTATCGTTCTGTAGTACAGCGTGTACAAAGTCATTATCCGTTGAGTAATTGTTGTTTTGAAATACTTATACTTATAATTTTTATGCAATTGAATATTATTTTTTGAACTAACAAATATTGTTCATTGCTGTGTAATAATAATAAAAATAATTATTTTTTAATTGATCAGATTAAGAAACTCTGCTGCGTGGACTTTTTTAAAGCTTCCGTGGACCATAAAAGTAAGACCAACGTACCTATTTTTCTGTAAAATGTTTTTTTAATTATATATTTTTTCTTTTTTAATTTTTTGTTTTTATTCTGAATACAGTATTTCAAATGTGTCTCAGCTGATCTGGAGCCACTCCTTTGTCTCTGGTGCAGTAAAACCACCAGCCAGCAGGGCTGACGACGGCCTTCAGACAGCGGAAGGCAGAAGAAGTAGGAGAACATGCGACCCACTTACTTAGCTTCATTTATCTCCAACTTTTCCACCTCGTCTCCGAGGTGAGATCTCAGTTTTTTTTATGATGCAGTTGTTCCTGGTACAGATGAAACATCACTAATGACTAAAGTACTGCGCACGTGGTCCGATCACGGCCTGCACCGTGCATCTTGTCCTAGCAGTAATGTGTGCGTCGCGGTAAACGCCCCCTGGGGTTTAAATAGTTCTTTCACATTTGTGTGAGGGACAGGAAACCTCCCAACAAGACAGGACACGTCCCACGGTTCCTTCCTGTTTTTCTGTTCTACCTTCTGTTTTTTTCTCTGTTCTGTTTCCTTCTAATTACAGGGCGTGTCCGACCGACCAACTGACCGACTGACCAGCTGACTACGATCAGTTTGGATACAAATGTCACACATCAAGTCGAGGCGACTGCATGGGGGGGTGTGCAGGCAGAGTCTGTGAGTGCAGGGAACAGTGGGGGGAGGAGGGGCAGAGCTGGGAGGAATTGAACCTCCCGACTGCCTGAGTGATGAAACTGTCCTTGAGCCTGCTGGATTTGGTCCAGAGACCTCAGAGTGGGCTGGACAGGGTGTGGGATGGGAGTAGTAGGGGGGTCACCTGTGATCCTGAGGGCCTGAAGGGTGAGGTGGGTGGTGTAGATGCCCAGAGGGGAGGGAGGGAGTAACCACGAGTCTTACATATATATAAACATTATATATATATATATATATATATGTGTGTGTGTGTGTTTATATATATTTGCTTATTTACATAAACAATATCGGTAAAAATAAATATGTAAATGAGCACAAATATTGTATATACATACATAGTATATATGTGTATATATTATAATTTGCTCATTTACATGGGTTGTTTATATTTTTACAGTAATTGTTTCATTAAATGAGAAAACATATATTTATATGTGTATATATTTGTTCATTATGTAAATAAAAAGGTAAATGAGCAAATATATACACATATATTTATATATGTGAATATATTTACTCATTATGTAATTAAAAAGTAAATGAGCAAATATATATACACATATATTTACATATGTGTATATATATTTACTCATTATGTAAATACAAAAGTAAATGAGCAATTATATATATATGTATATTTATATACGTGTGTATTTGCTCATTATGTAAATAAAAGGTAAATGAGTAAATATGAAGACATGTATATATGTGTATATATTTACTTATGCATAAGAAATAAAGGAGGAAATATATATACACGTATATTTATATATATTTACTCATTATGTAAGTAAAAAAGTAAATGAGCAAATATATATACACATATATTTGTATATGTATGTATATATATATATATAAATATATATATATATATTTGCTTATTATGTAAAAAAAGGTAAATGAGTAAATGTATACACATATATGTGTATATATGTTTGTATGGGATGTTTTTATTTTATCATTAAACTCCTGTGAGTACAATCTCCGCGTCAGTGAAACCAAACTTTTTTTTTTAACCACTCTAAAGTCGACGACCTCTTCGACGCAGCAGTTTCTTCCTGTGTGGTCTGTCGTCAGCAGATTAGCCTTAGAAACCTCTGATTTTGGCAAACCAAATAATAATCTCACTTTTGTTCATATGACAGTTATTATATATATAAAAAAAATAAGAGAACAAAACATCGTGATCTGTTTTTGACGTAAATGTGATTTACGATTCTTCTCTTAAAATGATGCGATTAATTGTGTCAAAAACAAATAAGTTCATGTTACAAAAAACTCATTTTAAAGAGGAGGAGGAGGA